TAAATCACTATCATAACTATATTTGGAATGATGTATTGGCACAATTGTTATAATATGCATTATTTTAAGCCTAATTAAAAAAACTAAGAAATTATGGATTGGGAGTTTCATCGAACGACCTTGACAATAAATTTTACACCTTTAACCCACCTTGTCAGAAACAAGAATTTTCCCCTGGACTATCTTGATTGGCCTTGTAGGGCCTAAAATAATGATAAACAAAATGGATAAGCCCACTATTTGCACTGTACGTTAATAGTAATCATATAGTGGCGTATTAAGTAAATTAAATTTTGAGAAGCTCAGAGAGGGATACAGATGCAAACAAAAAAATTCTCAGTCCTACGTTTGTTCGAGCAGGGGATTAAAATCGTATAAGTATGACATGTGTCCATGGGTGGAAAAGGCGATCTCAAAATTGTAATTGCGTCCCGACCCAATTACTAATTACATAATTTATGTGAATTATTATCTAACTGTTGTATATATTATGTTTCGATCTATCAAGAGTAAAGAAGAAGATGATGATGTATGAGAGCGATGGTGATGACTGTAAAGTAAAGATGATGATGACAATGAGAATGATTATAGTTATAATAATTATAAGTAGCCTATATAAGAAAAACAAAACATGTTTGTCTAGGTCCTCATCTTTTTAAACGTGCACTCAAGACTTACTTGTTTGCCTAAGTTTCTTTTTGCTGCTTTTCCTTTGTGTTTTTATTGTTGTAATCTGTTTATTTGTTTTGTGACTGTACTATTGTGATGCTTCGGGTTCCTGAATAATGACTGAGTTTATGCCTACCATTGTTTTCCTGAATTATTGAGGCTTGGCTTGAGCTTCATAACCGCAAGGGAAAGGCGCAATATAAATACCCAATACTAGTACCAGTACCAGTCCTTATAATTTGATTGAAAATATATAAATTTTATTAAAGCTGATCCACTTGTGTTTTACAGTGCCTCCTTCTTTTTCATCTAACCCGTGTACGTTCAATCTCCTTGCAAACTTTTCAACCACTTTAACATGCGATACTTGGAGCTACGATGCACATACCGGTATGGGAATTGTACAAGGGTACACTATACAATATTGGAACGTGAATACACCAAGTATTGTGTACTCAGTTATTGTAGACGAACCTCTCCATTTGCCAGATTATACGGTCCTACTACCTGAAGTGTATGTGTACTATTCATTCGAAGTAGTTGTGATGGTGAACTATGAGCACAAAGGTGCAGATATGACTGGGACATCAAGCTCCTCACTTAGCATTCCAAAAGGTTTAATTTCCTTTTAACCAAATTCAATTCTACACTCTTTTAAGCGTCGTCAAAAAAGCTAATAAAGAATTGTGTAAAACGTATAACCTTTACTCTTTACATGACGAACATTTTGATTTCTTTGTTATGATTACAAAGCTTAATAAATATTATGTATATTTTATATTTGAATATAAAAATTACTGAAATTGGTGAAATCAGAAAGCTCCATAACGATAGGTATATTTTATTATAATAAAACATGTTTGATATTAATTAGAACCGCTGCTTTCAATCTACGGTAAAGTAATAATTAACTTTATAAATGTATTTGGCTGCCATATCATTTCAGGCAAGGTACCAGACATTACTGCATTTAGTTCAGCTCACATTGTAGACAGTGGAACTAAAACGGATATGCGTGCCTACACAGGCCAGGACGATGGAGACAACCTCAACGTCATGTTTGGTATCGGTTTATGGGTGAACGACAGCGGGACGCATTATGGGGAGAATGAGTTAGTAAATCTAGACAACAATGTAGAGGATTCTATATTCACTTCTGGTACAACTTACGACGCATGCGCAGCAACAACGAACGCATTTAGATGTTGGCTCCAATTCCCCCCTGATGTTGGTGTACGCAGAATCGGTGTAAAATACATGTGGACAGAATTTAATGGTTACATTGTTTCAGCGTCAATGGTGTTTCTAGCAAAAGAAGGTGGGTTTATCAGTATGTGTTAGTGTTGGTGTGCATACTTCACCATAGTGTTTCTTTTTTGTAATTAGTTTTGTTTTTAGACTAAAAATTTCAAAATTGAAGATAATAACTTGACACTCCCGGAATATTAATTAATTAAAATATCTATTGAAACTGCTATAAACGTCAGTGATTGACCAAAAAGCTACTGGTCATTACCTGTCCCTTATATAGGTCACTGCCACTAATAGCAATAATTCAGAAACATATTATGCTCTTCCTGCAGACCACAGAGCGCTTCAGTTCCGTTTGCAACTTTAATCGTAGACTGCCTGTAACTTGGTTTAGTCAAATCTAAACTCAAGAATTTGCTTTTTCGACGGCCGCAATTTAAGCAGCGGTTCATCATGTGAAAGTGGAATTGAATAGCTGATGTGGAGTGGAGTTAGCTCAGTGGTTAAGATGCTTGTCTCTGATCCCAAGGTCCAGGGTTAAATTCCTGTTTTTTCCAGGATTTTTTCTCACGACAAAAACAACTCCACTCCCTAAGCCTCATAAAGAGATTTCGCTGATAAAAGCATCACATAATTTCATTTATTTAAAGAGAACCCCTGAACATTAGCCGACCTTGTATGATAAGCTGGAACGGTCACTTCTGAAAAATATGGTTTTAAAAAAAAGAAAAATAATTTGGCTCCTTGATTGATTTTACACAATATGATTTTTAAAAATTTATTTATTATAACATAGGCCTATCTAAAGAAGGTTACTCTTACAGCACAAAGCTGACCAGAAGAGGCCCTCTAACAGTACAATAATACTAAAAAAAAGGGCACATAAAACAAACAGGAAAATAAAATTCTTAATATGTAAGGACACCATGACAACAGA